GTGTGCTCCCCATCATAATCAGGAAATAACGGGAAAATCTGTTGTCAATTCAGTGTTTATAGAGAATCCTAACAAAAAAATACTATAGTAAACCGTACTATAGTACCAAAGTTAAAACTTTGAAACTTTGATTTACTATGTTGAAAACTTTGGAACTTTGATTTACTACAGTAATAACTTTGGAACTTTGATTTACTATAGTAATAACTTCGGAACTTTGATTTACTATGATGAAAACTTTGGAACTTTGATTTACTTTAGTGAAAACTTTGGAACTTTGATTTACTTTGGTGAAAACTTCGGAACTTTGATTTACAATGGTAAATACTTTGGAGCTCTAATTAACTATAGAGAAAACTTTGGAACTTTGATTAGGTACTATAAAAGCCGTGGAATTATGTTTTTGCTTTCCATTTTGTACATTGTATGAAATTTCAAGTTTAAAATTCATAAAAGCCTCAGAGATCTTTTAAAACACCCGACCCGTTCAATAAAAGAATAATGTACAAGAATTTATTTTTTTTTTTTTTTGTAAGAATTGTCCCTTTCACCGATAATAAGCAATATTTATTCAATTTAAATGTTGTGCAGATTAAACATAAGTCTTATTTATGGAGACAGAAAATACTCTAAGATAAAATTTGCGTCATTTAGAATCAAAATATTTCCTTCATTAGCTTCAGTCAACATGTTAAAATTTATTTAAATGTTCCAAATCCGCTACCGCTTCTCAAACATCTAACATCCCATTCGGGGTCACATCAGAGCGACCTTTCGATTATGAATACATGTACTAGTAAACACAAACACTTTGGCTATGTAGATTCAAGCCTCGGAAAACAATTCTCAAATTAATTCCACGGCTACATATCATCATTATTGATACTGTCTTACGTTGAATTAAAGTAATTTTGGAATAAATTTCATGTATAGTCTGCAGTCTGGCATCTGAACGTGAATAATGCAAACGAAAGAGCGCAAACTATACAAGATACCCCACACGTCATACATGTATAACACAACTTTTGCAATGCATATTTTGTTTACTACAAAACTCCTCGGGTGTTTTGGTTCGGTGGTGAAAACAAGAAACCCATCTGAACTATAAGCCAAAATTTCGGAGGAACCATTTTCTTTGGCTAATCGAAGATTCACTCTTACATGACCCCAAATAGGATGTTGTTAGATGTTTGAGAAGCAGTAGCGGATTCGGAACATCTGATTTTAATTAGATAGCATCCATCTGTGACATCAGTTTGGAATGTTATTGGTTTTACTATTAAGTAAAGTATTACAAAAACAGAATGTCTGGTTTTTTTTTCTCTGATGGCATTGGACAAAGATATGCATACTTAAATATCATTTCATGCACTTTTTTCGGTACATATTAGATGAAAGCATGCTAACCGCTTTTCAGTACTTTCAGTACTTTGATTATTGTATAATTTAAATACCTATGTGATACGCAATAGACTGTATGATGAATCTTTCACTTAACTATGCAGGCGCAGATCTCCCAGCGCACAAAACGTCTGACAACTTCGACCTTAAGCATAAAAAGTTCTGAAAGTCACGTGACTGCAGTAAAACGAGATAAAACTTTTTTTTTTTATTTTGATGTAATATCTTAAAATGTTGCATTGCAGTTCGATCATCGTTTGTAACGTTGAGTATCTAGCAAATCACTTAATTTATATTCATGTATGGATCTGTTTCAGGGTTTGACGCAAAAACGTTTACGTTTTTCTTGAAAAGGCGTAATCTGCAGGATTGTAAAAAGGTTTTATACAGAAATAAAATTGACTGTCTTCAAACATTTTTTGAACTAGACGAAGAAAATTTAACATCATTTGGTCTTGATTATGTGTTAAAATGCTTACGGGCGAAAAAGACAATACAAACAGAAAGTACAGTTTAAATGTTTACAATGCATATTTATTTAACTACTGTTTTACATAAAATAGTTTTGGCCAGTCCGTTTGTCTGCTTAATTGATTGTTTGCGAAAAACTTTGCCTATCCCATGACTATAGATTGGTTTCCGTTAGGGCTTATAAGTCTATGCCTTTTCGGAATTATAATTCAACATTTTGATCCCTTGACCTTCACCATGACCTGCCATAGGGGGAGATTAGTGTTTTACAAAAACATATGTTTTGTTTGGTGTGTTCAACATAAAAAAATACCTGTGTATTGTTGGCAAACAATAATTATAATAAAATGCATTTAGTACTAAAATTGTGAATTCTTTTATAAATTTTCATTTTCATATAGAAGTGTATTTTTTCCATATCAAATATACACTGGAGATGTTTTCACATTCTGTGTTGTTATACTTTTTTATTGCGCGTCAGGTCGAAGTGGCTACTTGCAATTACAACAGGATTCCCACTATAATAAACAATTTATCAATACAATATATGCAAGGACCAAGTTTGGAATATCATGCACTTGGTAGACCTGTCAAAAGTGAAAATGATCCTAAGGTTAACCACCAATTCACAATCGAGTCGATAGATGCATGCTTAATTTAAAGTACGCCTGAAAAAACAATTGTGTACAAATGACATACCGGTACACAAATCACTGAACGTGAACAGATGATGGTGTGGAGTCAGAGCTCTTCCATTCCAAATTTGATTTTCTTCTTTATATTTTACATGTAAATTATTTTATCAATACCACAGATTTATTCCTTTTAGTTCGTACAAAGCACGTACGAAATTTATTTTATTTCTGTTACAAATGAGATACTCATGAGCTTGAGTTTTTTTTTTTTTTTTTTATAATAAAATATCTGATCAACCATGCCATAAATAGTTTCTGTTTGATAAATCTGCGCGTGAAATGTGTCTGTAAATTTTCTTGGAGGAAGTCTGTTCCATTTTAAAGAAAGTGATCATACCGTTCACAATTAAAAGAATATTTAGTCATTTATCTTGTTAATGATGAGAATAATATGAACTGTTACCAACATATAGGAGCTCCAAGTTTTACGTATGAAAAGTCTTGATATTACTTATCAGCAAATTTATTAATCTCAGCAAAATTCGTCGAGACTAAATATTATGTATGGACGTCTCTAAACTCCAGACCATTGCAACACAAATTGATTCGGGAATCCTGTCAGAATTAAACTGAATGAAATGAATTCCCTGCCCGCTTCAATTTCTCGCTTTTAACGCCCTTTTATAACTCTTTCTCACAAAAAGCGTTCGTGCCTTATCTTTTAAAGGATTCAATGCTACCCATATTGAAATTGTTGATTTTTCATACAGTAGCTTTGATATATTTGCTGAGACCTCCGACGCTGAAGAACAGAAGAGTTCCCGTCAAGGTCACAATTAATAATTAGTCTGCCTCAATTACCGGTACTTGGTACTATGTTTCATTCTATAGCAAATTATAGTAAAACGACGGTAAATAATAGAAGTAAAAGGAATCAAAGTCGAAAAGTTGAAGAGGGCAAGAAGTAACATTCAACTCGTTTAGATCGAGACGATCTTTGTTCCAACAGGCTTTCCCCAGTGACTCTGTGTCACACTGCCATATGATTCGGCAGAAACATGGGTAAAAAGTTTAAGTTTAGACGAATAGAGCCGAGATCAAAAATCATAATCAAATTTGTATGGAATCATCATCAGATAGTAATGATTCATTTTTTTTTCAAATCATGACTCTAAGAGGAAAGATAGTGCCACTATGGAAAAATCAAAATTTTACATACGAGGAATACGTATGTATAAATGTAGGAATGAAACATATGGAGATAACGAACAGTATTCAAGATCAAGAGTCCATGAAACAATAAGATATTAAAAATTCTTTTTCTAAGAAACACCTAAGTCATAATTCACATTTTATTGTAGGCAATCTTTTGTAAATTAATGCTTGTTCTAAATACCATGACCCCATGGGGAGAGGTTGGGGTATGTTGGTCATCAAGTGTTTCCTTCTTTAACCGCTTTAGATTTTGAATTAATTTTGCTTCATTTTATAACAAAAGGTCTGCTACTTACGGAATAACGGGGCGCAATCAATACACATTGGAATTCCGACAAATTGTTTGAAGACATTGTCTCCATATTGTCAATCAATAAATCGAGTAGCTTTTCAATATCAACTTCAGAGTACTTTTGTGTCAATCAGAGAATGTGAGTATTTTATGAATATATTTTTGCAAATGACTAATGACAAGGTATGTAAATATTTTAGTTGCAATTTATTGAAAAAGCAGCTGTCAATGATTTAAAAAATCTTGTTTTTAAATTTGGACCAACTTATAGCAATGGTTTTGTCTGGTACCCAAATATCTTACAATATATTCATAGCAAGCATTTCCATGGCGCTTGGAAATTGCCGAGTAAATACCGAAACAGTTTGTTAGCTTGTAAATGAATCTCAGAATCACACTTGCATATCTTGAAAGATGTGTGCTTATGAGTAAAATTTAAAAGATACATTAATTTTGTTTTCTCCAATAACAGTGTAATGTCCTATAAAAAGTATTAATTTATTCATTGATAAACTAAACAGATTGTCGAGGAAAATGTATGTAAGAAATTCATTCTTATTTCTTATGAGCACTTCATCATCGGTTTGATCAAATCTCGCTTCGTTGTAATCCTTCTTTAAAGCTATGCCATAATCCAAGATCAAATATGAGAAAAAAATATGTTCATCAATAGTTTTAATGTTTCTTCATTGACGGTCTGGGCACCAGATATGTGTCATCTACTATATATTTCTGTTGTCCCACTTCAGCACTTTGGTCTTCATTAGCCGGTATGACGTCATAATCAGTATGACTAAACATCCGAGAGATTCGAGAATTTCGGGTATCCCTGGAATCATCCCCTTTTGTGAATTCCTGTATAGGCAAGTACGTGTTATTTTCTTCGAAAGGTTTGGCTGTGTCGTAATACACTGCATTGTCTTGAATTTTTGTGACGTCCAGGGGGTTTAAATCGGCGTACATGTTGACTTCCGGATGTGACCTTCGGATGATCTCGTATGTGTTCATTTCCTTAGCATTAAACATCGGATTCTGTATTCCTATGTTAGTACCCTGACCTGCAAATGATCATGTAATAAAACGTTAGACGGGCTTATAAATATAAGAGCATAATAAAGGGACAGAGATAAACTTTAAAGACTTTTCAATCGGAGAAATATAGGCAGATTGATTTGTTTACTGTTAGAATACATTAGTGTTTTAAATGTCATCCTTATTCGACACAAAGTGAATCCAATAGTTATTGGTTATTTATTGGATATTTCTTGATTTTTACATTTCCAAATATTTTTCCTTAAAATTCTTTGCAAATTTGAAAGGTTTATTATTTTCTAATGAAAAACCATGGGATGAGTACTAATATTTCCATTGCTATGTGATTGAAGTCAAAAAATAGTGAAAACCTTTTTTAAAAAAGGAATCGTTGAGCGACATATACATGTATTTGTGGAAAGTCATCATGAAAATGGTGTAAATATGAGTTAAAATTTTATTTTAGTGAAGATATATGAACTACAACGCTTCACACATGTATATTATCATGAAGGGCTAACGCGCTTCGAAATATATGCAAGCGTGATGCGTTGTAGTTTATTTCCTTATGAATTCTCAAAAATTATATTCCTCACTTAAATGAATGTTTTCTTTCTTTTGATTTCCAAATGCCAAGTTAAGAGATCAGTCTTCTAACCATTGCAAACACATTAAAATATCAATTTACGTTAGATACACCTAGTGAATCCCACCTTTGACGATCATGATATAACTTCCGGTTTTACAAGCATGGTTTATGAAAACTAAATCACATTAATTTTGTAGCTGTGTTTACTGATCGAATGATTATATTTAAGTTTCCACTTTAACATACAAACCTCGTGGTCTGTGATACCTCCTCCATATAAAGACGCCGACTAAGACAAGAGCGATGACTGATAGTACTCCTGTAGTGACCGCTACAGTGACGTCACCACTACTTCCGGTCTCGGATGGTCCCTTTATCACCGGGGCCTGCTGGAGATTAGCTGTAATGTATACGTATAACGAGGTGAAGGAAATGTTGGTTTCATATTGGCTCTAGAAAAAAAACAGACTTTTGATCTCGTGCAATTTCATTTTTTACAAAGGGAAAAAAATACAGCGGGAAAATAACATTGAGATTAAAAGTAGGATCGTTGAACTTTTATGACCCCTCATTGGCGTCGGAAGCAAATTGAAAGTGGGGGGGGGGGGCTAAGTGTAAGAGATTTTTTTGACCTTCTAAAAAACCTGACAAACAAAAAAGGGGGGAAACTACGGGAAGCCCGTTGGTGCCATGTACGAAAAATATTTTATCTGGCGGCTGCCAAATAATAAGTGGCGGCCGCCACTTAATATATGGCGGCAGCCACATATTTATCTCGCGGCCGCTATATAACATCTAGCGGCCGCCACTTATATATCTGGCGGCCGCCACATAATTTATATGGCGTCCGCCAGATAACACCTGGCTACCTGATGCGCACGCATGTTTTAACGTGTGATTTCAGAGGTGGATACATTTTAAAAATTAAAATAGCGACATCAATCAACCAAACTTGTAAGAGATTTATCATGAACCAACACTCCAATCCACAATTCTATCTACATGTAGATATGTTTTTGCATAGAGCACATTAATATTTGATTTGAATTGTGCAAGTATCGGTAGAGTGTCTCGGTTATTAAGAAGCCTCATCAGGGATCACGGACATAAATCAAGGTGTTAGTTTTAGGTGAGACCGGGTTATCTCGTCACCTATATTCTTGTGTTTGCTGAAAGCTATGATTGGTTTAGAAATAAATAAAGTTTTGCATTTTGGATTTCTAAGAATGTTGTTCCAATATTTCAGAATTCGTTTTTTATCATTAACTTTTTTATCGATAAGCAGCGACTGTGTCAACATCCATCTTCTTAACCCAATAACACTCACCTTTTGCAAAATAATTTATGTGGCGGCTGCCATATAAATTATGTTGCGGCCGCCGGATAAATATTTGGCGGCCGCCAGATATTATATAGCGGCCGACAGATATTATGTAGCGGCCGCCAGATAAATTATGTGGCGGCCGCCATATATTTAAGTGGTGACCGCCACATAATTATTTGGTGGCCGCCAGATATATAAGTAGCGGCCGCCAAATAAAATATTTTTCGTACGTGGCACTAACGGGCTTCCGTAGTAAACCATTGACCCAGTGCGAAAATCCTATTTCGGTTGGGGGGTTATTTCAGTACCAATTTTTTCCAAATGGTATACCAGTTTTCCCATTCTTATTCTAAATTGCGTGTCTGTGGAAAGTGTGTGTGTGTGTGTGGGGGGGGGGGCTAAACCTTCGCCGCAATGTTTCATGTCTATACCAAGTCTACCTTGGCTTACCCAAATGTGCAGTTTCAAAATATTTCATGAGGTAAAACCTTAATGTTATTGTAGTTCAAAGTTGATTGATAAACGCGAATTTATAGAAATCGATTACTTAAAAATGTTGCATGTTAATACAAAAATAAAATGTTAGAAGTTTTGATAAATAAAATGGAGTTATTTTGATTCATGATAAATTTGAATAATATAATATGTTAAGTCTTCTAAATGTATATAATGTATTTGTTAGAATGTTTATAGTTCTTTGACTCTTGTTTGATAAAAATTATTTAATTTCCTGTTTTTCATAAAGTATAACTTAAATGAATTACTTGAAGACAAAGGACCCTTTGTTGTTGTTGTTGTTGTTGTTGTCGCTGTTGTTGTTGTTGTTGTCGTTGTTGTTGTGGGACTTTCTGTGGTCGCTCTTGGGTCTGAAAAAGATATTAAACATTTATTAATACACGTATAATTTCACTGATATAGACTGGGAAAGATATCAGACCCTTCAAGGGGATGGGGGTGGGGGAAGAGGCTCTTATTCCGAAAAAAAAACAACCCAAAGATACATGTAACATGTATATCCAAGCTTAAAAATCCATTAATAAGCTTAAATTATTTTTTAAATAAATAAAAAAATTTTCATTGCAAAAAATTCTAAATAAAAAATTTCTTCACATTAACCGTGATGAAGGTAAATAGGACTTATTTATACTCGTACATTATTATACAGTCTTGTATTAAATATTTCTTCTTTTATATTATATGGATTATTTTCTTTACCATGCATCATGCTAACACAGGCAGTGAGTTTGATGGAAAGTTAATTATCAGCACTGTTTACATGTTTGTACATATGATTTTAAACATAATGACTGTTCTTATACTTTAGAATTATTTTTAGCAAACATATAGTTACATGTATGTAAAAACAAACCTTCAAAAATCCATACTCCGGATGCCCCAAAGCCGGTGGAGATTCCGATCTCTACATCAGAGAGTGGACGTCTAAGACTGAAACTGAGAATAGCGTCACCTATCCCAGAGTCCTGATATCCGACATTTATCTCTTGGTTAGCCCAACTGACCCTAAACGTCTGAAAGTTTTGGCAATCCAGAATCTGTCCACTGTGCTCTGTCCGGCAAGACCCTTGAACCCTTGTCCGGAAACAAGAACGTGAGTTGCTCCATCCCCCGAGGACTATCTCCAATGGTCGTCTGCCGGCAGACCTCAAGGCCACATGAGCGTCATTACAAGCCTGAACTTGGAAGGTCAAGGACGTCGAGTTCGTAACGGGAATTCCGTACTCGGTCAAGTACATGTATTTGTACCTGTTTGGTGTGGAGATTTTTATTTCATTTTTTCCATGAACTTTGTCTGGAAAATTAAGGAAATATATGATCCTTATTTTAAGAGGGCTGGTTTGGTTTTGGCCATCTTTAAACTCTACTGATCTCCTCTAGAAGAAGAGCCCCATATAAAGATAGACAAAAATGATGAGATTTCAAAATTAAAACGTTTGAATTTTTTCTTGATTGTTGACAGCTTAACTTAGATATCATATCTAAAAAAAATTAAGCTATATCTGATGGTTAATTAATTTGTCCCTCCCCCCCTCTAGCCTTTTTAAATGACTTTCAATAATATCTTGAATGAATATGTTACATGTAGTCTTTTTTCCAAATTTTTTTTTCATATAATAGGTGAGATTCATCTTATAAAATGTTTCATCTTATTTGTTTCTTTGTCACTTTTATATTATATTAATTCTTTTTTTATCCTCAAAGAATGAATAATATGGTCATGGGTCTATCGGAATATTTCCTTTTCTAAAATCTCGTTTTATATGAAATCGATATTTTTTGTCGTTATATCGATTATTATAAAGCATTAACTATTCTAAAAATGATTTTAACACTCCTGATATATGTAATAATTATACGGATAGTACGTAATCGTGCACTTACCTATTGTATAAATCATCAGTAGTAGAAATATATCTTCACGCCAAATCAACATATTTTCAGTTTGTATCGAAAGAACAATGTTAAGCAAATCTTATCTACATTACAAATACACATCATCAACATGTAATCGTTCATAGAAGATCCGGCTTCTCTTACATAAAATGTTTGAGACTATGAATTACTTCCGGAGAAGACTTTCTATAATCCTACATGTCATCTCGATATAGCTGTTTACAATTAAATATCATAGACTCATACGACCTGATTAGGATATTATTAATCACGTAAACAACCCACATTGTCATCATGGTTTTATTTTGAATCTACTGTATACATATTTACTCCTTTTCATGCATCACTGTACATAAAAAAATGTGAATCTCTCTCTCTCTCTCTCTCTCTCTCTCTCTCTCTCTCTCTTGCATGTAAAGCTTGTTTATTTTATAAAGTAATTGGGTGTCATTTAAGCAAAAATATTTTAGTTACATTAACTTTATAACCAAAAACAAAACGTTTTTCTGTGTATATCATTTTCTCATGTATATTGATATCCCCTTATTTCACAACGATTACGTTACAATCCATGACGATAAGCAATACGGAGGATTTTCAAATAAATGGTAAAGTAATAGAAGTATTTATTGTGCAATCGATCACATTTGTTGTGTGAAATAGAAAAAAAAATATATAGCGGTCTCAGAAACAAAATGAACAAGACATGATGCAAATAACTGTTAAATAATCATTTATTTTGGTCAAGCAAGTTTTAAGGTATAGATCATTATTTTTGTACCGTTTTATCTATGTCACTTATTCTTAGTTTACCATATTAGAAATGAGGTATCGGAGATCGAGTCTATCGGAGATTCAAGTTAGATCAAACTGTGGTAGCTCAATATATATCTATCTGTAGTGGATAATATTCAAAGAAGCTCTAGCATGATGGCTTAAATTATGAATTTTAAAACAGATCCGTATTAAGCAATTTTTCTCCAAGTTCAATATGGCGGTGCACGCTCAACCATATATTTTCAGTTGGGGGGGGGGGGGGGTATCACAAAATCCTTCACAAGCATAAAATGGTGCACGAGCACATAGTAGCAATATTTTCTGTTGTATACTACCGGTATATAGCGGCAAAATTAGGGCGGGGGTAACATAAGATAATTTGAGTTTATAACTTACATGTATAAGCTCTAATATCTTAACAATTAAGTAAGTAGCAGTGAAAATTTAGCTGTTAAATCAAATACAATACATTTAATTTTTTTTTCTTTTAATAAATGATTCTTGAAAAGCTTTATTTTGATTTTCATTAAAAATTTTATTGCGTACAGAGTTCGATTAAAAAGTCATCGGGTTCGGCAGTCAAAAAAATATCCTGTCGTCTGCTTCGACTAACGAGAAGGTCACCTGTCACCGATCAGGATCTGAAACAAAGTCCAGATAAACAGGTAAACTGACACAAGAAATCAAAAAAGATTTATTCATTTGTGTTGCAGTGCATCTTTAATAAGACATGCACTATTTAAAAGTCAAAAACCTAACAACTTTTTTTTTTGCATTGAGACAAAATCCGGCGCTGAAAGCAGGCCTAATGGCAGTAGTGCTCTTGGATAGGCCTATAGAGGGGTCTACCTTTGAATAATGTCAGACGGATTCAATTTTTTTTTCAACAAGAAAATGTTTTGTATCAATATTACTTTATGTGTTTAACATGTTCAATCGGCTAGCCGCTTAATCAAGCCTGATTCATGGTTTTTGGAGGGGGGGTTAACGTACCATTCCCAATGGTAAAAAGTTTAAGTATGTGTTTTTCCCAATTTCATAAAAGAAAATTCTCAAAAAGAGAAACGAAACCAACAGATATGCCATCATAATTATGGTAAAAAAAAAATACCAAATTCAGTAATATGAATATTGAAAATGTCTTTTAGGCCAAATATCTAAAAAGCAGTCTCCAACTACTGATTGACTGCAAATAAAATAATTCAATGAAATAGGCTGATCTTTGCAAATAATAAAAAACACCACTTATCTGGGCAACCAAACAATATTTTGAAGATGGCCTAAGCCAGTATATGAGCATGACTGATGAAACAAATATAGTAAATGTTTCTAGCCTGTTTGGAGTTTAACAATTTTTTTAGTTACAAAGCTTTGAGGCAATTTCAAATGAAAATCATATACATTAAATAAAACTCGTTTAGATACGAAAACGGATATTGCTACATGTAATTACATGTAATAGATAATATAGAGAAGTTATCTTGGATCTCAAGCTAATCTATAAAAATTTAACGAATTTCTTATACAGATATAACGAATTACAGATCTAGTGAAGTTATTTCGTAGGTCGGACTGACCAAGTGACTTCTGTAAAACTGAGTTTTACCGTATACGGTGCTCTTGTAAAACTCAGCTGAAAACATTAGGAACAGCCAATTCAGAAAATTTGTGTTCCCCGCTTTACGGCTTAGGCTAAAAAAGAAGAGCATGCATAGGACGGGTAGGGGGGCGGGGGTCGTATCCCCCTTGAATTTGTAGAATTATTAAATGTTTTCATGTATATTAAAAGCAGGGGACAATTAGCAATATTTTCAGTTTTAGGAAACTTTGCCAATTGGTAAAATCATATAAACTAGACATTATTGATTATCTATGAAATAATTATTGAGTTTCTAGTGGTTGTAATATCACCTAATTTTTTTTAATTTTAAATACAGAGAAATATTAATAAAAAGTTTATTAACTGGAGCTTATAAATATTTCGAGAAGTGGCAAATTAGAAAATTAACACAAAAATTCAGTTGATAGAAAAGGTACATTTGTAGCTCACCAGTGAGCTTTTCTGATCAAAAATTTTCCGTCGTTGTCGTCGATGCCGTCCTTAACTTTTAACATTTTCATCTTCTCAAGAACCATTTGGCCAATATCAAGCAAACTTGCTACAAACTATCCTTGGGGAAGGGGATGCAAGTTTGTGCCAGGAAAGATGAAGCAAATTTGGAAGCAGTAGTGTAGACTCAAGTTTGTTCAAAAAATGACGCCCGGGGGGGGGGGGGGGGGGGGGGCCACAATGGGGGATCAAAGTTTAACATAAAGGAAGACATAAGAAAAATGTTTAAAACTCTTCTTCTCAAGAACAGCAAAGCCTTGTCTGGTCATAGTTACATGGAAGCATTCCTCTGTTAGTGTAGATTCAAATTTATTCAATTTAAATCATGACCCCTGGGGCAAGGATGGGGGCATTATGGATGATCAAAGAATCGAAGGATTACATAAAAAAAATCTTTAAATACTTTCTTCTTAAGAACAGGACAGCTGTGATTGGAAATAGTTATGTGGACGCATCATCATGTAGTGTAGATCCAGGTTTTTCAAATCATGACCCCCAGGGAGAGAGTGGGCGGGGCCACAATGGGTGATCAAGGTTTCATGTAGGAATACATGGAAAAAATTAAAAATGTTCACAAAGTCACGATTGATCATCAATTTAAAAAAAATCAAAAAAGGTAATGTCGATTAAAATTTGTCCAAATCATGATCAATCAGGAGAACAGAGGAACCATTTAAGTTGATCATAAAAAAGGAATAAACATGATAAAAGTGTTGTTAAGGTTAGCAATGTGGTCCCTGGGACTCTTGTTGAATTAGGAATCGAATAGGGCTTTTATACGGCCCAAATTGTAGGAACAAGGACCTATTTTAAGTTTGCCTTAAGTAAATCATGAAATACATTTTTCAATTTCTTTATTTATTTTTTTTTTTTGTAGAAAATGAGAGGTTGTGTTATATATCAAAATCTTTGAATTTTATTTACTTTTTGTAGAATATTGTTCAGCGGCAAAACCAAACATGGAATTCCCCAGTGATGAAGTGATCAGAGAGCTGGAGAACAGAGAGTATAGTATAGAGGGGTACTTCTCCAAGGCTGAGCTGGCCAAACTCTCTAATGTGGAGCTGCTGAGATACAAGAACATGAGGAAGAATTACGAGATAATGCTGACTGTTGGTAGGTTTAACCTAAAGATTAAAAGAAAATGATATTTCTTACAAAGATTACTTGACAATGATGATTTGAAGTTGCCGCAAAAGGGGGAACAACTCCAGGCACTGTGTATCATTGTCCAATGTATGTTTGATGCTAAAATACTAATGCATCATTTAGCAATTTCTTAATTGGATAGTAGCTTTATCACCTTGTATTCAATATAGCGAGCGACGCCAAACGACGCTTTTCACTGCGAGCTCTAACAACAACACCTGGGCGAACAGAAAATTCGAACTACTGCAAATTTATTCTATAGAATTTTTTCCGCAGTAACTTTGGACCCACAGTGCAGGGGTCGAAATTCATCATATACAACGCGCAATATGCGAGTAAGAATATCCAAATTGCAAGTAAAATATTTGTAATTCGCAAAAATTTCGAGTTGATATATATATTTTATTATTTATATCTATATTGTGTAATTTGATATTATAGCTTAAATATAGATATGATATTAGCTTTATCCAACTAGTTAAAATGGAGTTTATTTGCGAGGCTTGCCGAGCGAATAAACCCCATTTCAAGGATTTTGATAAAGTCAATATCAAATCACACAATTATAGATCTATGTAAATTGTTCTATTTATCTCATACGACTTTCGTTTTCACCAAAATTTTGAGACTTCCACTGTGAAACTACATTAATGATTTATAACTCAAATTGATGACGAAAACTTGATGACGTGGCACTGTTGAGTGTTGATGCTGACATGCGGCATGCCTCGAAAGAAAGTAGATCGGGTTCAAAATTTAGAATTTTTGCTATCTGGGTCTTTGAAAACATTATGTGACAATTGATGGAGCTTTACATCGAACGAACTGGGTAGGCATACGTTTAAAGGTCAAATATAAAGGAAATAGATACACTTTAAAATGATATGTGTTGTACATAATAGCTAAAAATAGGTAATCAGAATATTTGTAAAATTTTAAACCTCATTGTTTTCTTTGTTTACCTGTTTAAAAATCGCTAAATTTAACAATGATCATTAGAGTTATTTCCCCTGTACGTGACGTCATTAGAGACAATCAACATCAGAAACCGTATATTGATATATAGTAAATCGTATTCTCGATTATTGTAAAAATGGCAAATTCTAGCGACAGTGATGGTGATATATCAAAGATAGACCTTTCTGTGAAGATAAGGCCTTACATGTTTGAGCCAATCAAAGAAAATAACGTAATACAGATTGAAAACGAATCCTCGTCCTCTTCGTCCGATGGTGAGCATGGGGAGACTGGAGATGAAAATATTACAGCTGACCATAACGTAGCGAATGCAAATGACTGGTAATTAAATCATTTTACTCACTTTAAATCCTTAAATAAAAGTTTCAAGAAAATTGAGTGTATGCCTTCTCATGATAGGATTATACCTACTGTAGATCTTATCGCAACTTTTTATAAATACGGGGACGCCCCTGGTATATACACGCAATCATTATATTTTATAGACTCTTTTGCACGGTAGTAAAAAAAAAATACCGGGGCACGGAAATTTTCTTTTTGTAAATAAAGATTGTCCGCTCAATAAATACTACCAACTTTTTGTCAATTATTTTGCCCCCCCCCCTCCCCAATCACCACCAAATTACAATATTATTTGTAATGCCCCCCCCCCCCAACTGATTCCTACCGTCCTGCATATATATAGAATAAAATCATCATTTACCAATTTCATGCAAAAATACTTTAAAATTAATATCACACTATTAATTTTTTTATATGAAAAATTGTTAACGGTATTACGTGTATTTTCTTGTAACAGGTGCTCTTGTGGTAACTGCGTTACGATGCCGACACCTAGAGAAAACAAATGTTGCAGAAAAACGAATATTGTGGACGGTAAAATTGAGGACCAATCACTTACGTGCATAACTGATCACGAAGGTTTTATCGTAAACTGTTTAAATAAATATGTTCTGGAAACATCTTACTACGAATACATCCAGGAAAACGGACAATTAGAGGAAAATGAACACATTCATGAGTAAGTCATATATTACTTGACTATACAAGAAAGGAAGAATCACCAAGTCCATAAAATAATATCCGAGAAATTAGTGTCTAGCATGCACGAAATATTGGGAAATGCGCTGCATTTCATCTTACGGCAATCTGCAAAGAAATTTCCAATTTCTTTAGTTTCCTTTACAACAATTTTGATTTTCGATTCCGTCATTTATTTCTTTTCGTTTCCGAAATTTTGGAAATTTAATAGTATTATGTAAACCAGGTAGATGTAAATGGAATTTTAATAGAATTTTCAATATATAAATAAGAACATATAAACATGTACATGTAGCACGAAGTCCAGTTAAAAAAGTTAAATATGCCTGCATTTTTTTTTTTCATCACCATGTATGTTTACATGTACTAAGTTAAATGTAAATGACTGAACCAAACTTATGTCCAAGACATTTAATATACTAAATTATATCTTATGAAATTAAATTTTTCCTAAGTATATTCTTCAAACTTGCTTTCATTACCTAAAAGCACTACATGAAAAATATCGACAATCTCAAAAATTCCGGAAATGAAATGAAATGCAGCCGGGAGTTGGATGCCCCCCCCCCTTACTTTTTTCATAATGTTTTTTTTTTTTGGGGGGGGGGGGGTTGCTAAACAAAAAGAAGCTGTGAAGGCTGGTAACTAGCCTACTCCCCCAATTCTTGGAGTAGTCAGTACGATCAACCTCTCAAACCTCAATATTTTCTAGTCAGAAAAAGACTAACCCCCTTTCCAATAGTTTTTTAAAAATTGATTTCTGATTTTTTGGGGGGAGGGGCAAGTCATTATGGTATATCAGTCATATTTTCAGATTATCCGCATCTCTCTTCTCTCTCCAAGTGTACTTTTATAAATTGTCTCTTCTACAACATTTTTTTTCTTTGCAAGAGAAACATCCATGTACATCATGAATTAAAGTATGAAAATTGTATTTCCTTTGTCATTTCAGGCTGTACAGATATCTTGCCTATCGCAGATTTGTCAGATGGATATATCAGCGTCTTGGAAAGAAGAACAGAAGAATTCTTCCGTCTTGTGTTGTGATCAAAATTCGAAAAACCTTTCCCTCCGAAGAGTATTGTGGCTTTAAATACCCAAACTGACAAATTCATATCCTGTACATAGAAAATTTTGAAATAAAACCATGAACTACACTGTACGTGAATCATTGTGTATTTAATTAAATCTAGATCTATGTGCAGCCACAATATCACATTTCCTTGCTCTTGGTTCAGACTGGGAGATTGGCACAGGTCTCTCTCTCTCCTCCATCGCCCTTGCTCTCCTTGCCTCTGCAAAAGAACTGTGAACCTCCCTCCTAAATACAAGCTCTTCATTCAGTTGGTCAATGTAATCTGTAATTAGAGCAAATGATATTTATTAACAATGAAATTTTATCAAAAAACTAAACATACAATGTTTAACATTGTTTTATGCCCCATATGGAAGACTGGTGATATATTATTTTTTTGCCCTGTCCGTCCATCTGTATATCTACAAGAACTTTAACATTGCTCATAACTTTCAAATGGTTGGAGCTATAGCTTTTAAAAAGATTTCATATGTGTATTCCTTGTGAAAGACCTTTTTTGGGTACCATATCATATTTATTTACCGGGTACCTTAAAGTTTGGTCCAGTTTTACAAAATTTTACCGAACTTTAACCTTGGTCATAACTTTTGAACAGTTGGTGCTAGGGCTTTAACACTCACATGTGTAATCCTTGTGACAAGACCTTCTTTTGAATATCAACAACTTCGACCTTTTGAACTTGACCTAAAAGTTTGACCTACTTATAAAAAACTTGAACCTTTTCCATATCTTTTCAACTGTTGCTGCTAGGGATTTCATAATTCACAGGTATGTTCCCCGGGACAATACCTTACTTTTGGTACTTTTATAATAAATATTTGATTTGCATTTGAAAAAGTTTAACCTTTCCTTTAAGATGCCATAGTTCACAAACACATATATGCATATTCGTTATTGTTTTTTTTTTCCATTCAAAACATTTTTCATTTATTCAGGTCAAAAATTTCTTCTGGACAAATTTAGTTATGACCTAAACTTTGCAATACTCACTGAAAGTTTGTTTTACTTTCACTTCCTTAGCCACTCCTTCACCTTTCCTACTTTTTGGGAAAGACACCCTATACATTGTGTCACCTTGTCTGGTTGTTGCCTGCTGTCTGCTTGAGTTTTCATTAAATTGGAGGACTGCTAACTGTAACCTGTGAATGTTTAAATTGGTAGCAAAAAAAAAATAAGATGTGAACAGGCAATATTATACATTTATTGACTGAGTTCGAGGGCAACATACATTTTGTCGGACCCAATAACTAAACTGTACGCCTGAGGCTGTTAGGCAAAATGCATTTTGCCTGAGAACTCTGTCAATAAATGTTTTGTAAAACCTTTCAATTTATTTTATATTTTGCCATACATGTATTTTGTACTGTCTTCCTTGACGTAACATCAAGTCAGTCACTGTTGAACACCAATGAATGAAAATGAGATTAAGGTCCCCCCATTCTTTGACGTAAGCAGTCCAACATCTCATCGACTTTTTTCCGTATAGATTTGTAAAGGAAAAAAAATTTTAAAAGTATAACAATACTTTTACAAATTTGTTCCTATACAAATCAATTTACGGAAAAAAGTCTAACATTTCTAATGTTTTCCTGAGCTGGCATAAAAAGATTCAATGTTGGACTGCTGAGTGAGATGTTGGACCAGTTGATGAGATGTTGGACCACTTGCGTCACAGAATGGGCGGAGCTTAATCTCATTTTCATTCTTTGGTGTTCAAAAGTGATGGACCTGATGTTACATCACGAATGACAGTACAAAATACATGTACTGGTATGTAAAAAAAAAATTAAATGAAAGGTATAACAAAACATTTATTGACTGTGTTCTCGGGCAAAATGCGTTTAGTCGACTCTCAAACCAAGTTGTCTGCCTTCGGCCTAAAAGCCTCAGGCAAACGGTTTAATTGGTTCTTGGGTCCGACAAAACGCATGTTGCCCTCGAACTCAGTCAATAAATGTATATTGTTAAAAGGCCACTTGACCATTTACTCACCTAGCTTCCATTTGTGCATGAAAGTAATGGACCAGTTTTGGTGCAAAGTGACACAGAACTTTGTGGAATGCTTCCAGACCAGATGTTTGTTCTGCTGGTGAGAGTTTCCTGATGTCTGTCAGTAGCAATCGTCCATTAACAATTTTCTCCAATTCAACATAAGCTTTAGAACCTGCAGTTTAGAAATTACTGAACTAGCTGTTTTATAATTGCAGTTGTAGGATACTTTTATGCTAATCAAATTAAAAAAAAAGAAAAAAGAAAATGTACAAAATATTTAATTATGAGTCATTCTGCCACCAGAAATTGAGAGCATTATTTTAGATACCTTTCCTGAACCATATTCGGTCATCATCAAGATCACCATGCTCACATCTTGGAAACTGTGAACCATGCCCTTCATGTATGTTGCAAACATGGTTTAGAATGGAACACCATTTCTCAAGTACTAGCTCTCCATTTCCCTCACAGCTCATGGCACACCAGTAGGTATGGTTACTGATTGATCTTGCCCACTGACCAACAATCTCACAATTCTTCTTTTTAGCCACTGCTTCCAACTTCTTAAATACACCTGAAAGAAGACATGTAACTCATTAATAAAATATGCTAAATACAAGATTTAAATTGTATAAACAAGGTATAAACCGTTCAAATTAAAATTACCTTTAGCAACATGCCAGCAATCAAACCAATGAGTAATTTCAGGTTGCTCTTCACGCATATACTTTTTAATTTGAGAGTGGCGATCAGTCACCAGATGTGACACTTCAACCTGCTCCTCCTCTAAGAATGCCAAACCTCTTTTCAAGCCCTCTAACTCCATGGCGTATGAATTCCTTACTTCATTTTTCTACAATATTAAAAAGTTGTATGTACAATTACAAGAAACTTGTTCAGTATTCACTTGCTGATGTGTATAAGAAAAACATGACATCAAAATAGCAATATGATCTTGAAAATTTATCAAAGTGTACATCATATTCCACATGTTCCAATTGAGTTTTCATTAAAAAAGTGTTTTAATTTAGTTTGCTCTAACCTGTACTAGCTGTGTGTCTACAATTTTGTTGGTTTGAAGATCCATCAGTGTATAGGACAGGTACTTTGCTGTATGTCCTGGGGAGCAGCATCTACCGTCACCGCCCAGCCTCAAGGGTTCTCCTGCTTCCCGTGCTGCAGTTAATAGATGCAACTGTTCTCTCTGCCATACAGTTTCTATTGTAGGGACTAGATAAAGATTCTGAATGTTCATATAAGTTCCTATACTAAACATCTGTATTGATGCATGCTGGCACAATGTCAAAAATTTACTGGCACTACTGCCCGAAAATAAAACAGCTCCTGCCACAATCAAATTGCCAAGTGGCATTGAATTTGATGTCGGCTGACTTTCCTATTTTTTGACTAGGCAGCAGTTTTCACAGAGGCTAGTAACCTGAACGTAAGAACCAACTACATTTTTGGTGACTTTGCATGTGGATTCACAGTTGTTACAAACTACAAACAAACTTTCCAAGCAGGATTCGAATACTATAAATTTTCTCTCTTTTGCTGGACTTATCTCTTGTTCTGTATTATCAAGCTGATCATTGTTTTCATCTGGTATCCAGTCTGGATCTTCCAATTCATTATCATCAATGGACATATACCTGGTGTTTAAGTCATCATCTAATCTACTCTCATCCGTCTGAGTTCCAGTAGAAACCAGGATTGGTCTCACAACAGGATCAGGTGTAGTCTCAGTTTGAACCCTGACATGACGTCGCTTCTGAAATTTGATTTTATTTCCTCATTTAGTTATCATATGATAAAAACACATTCATATGCATAAAATTAATTCAAGTATTTACAATTTTAAACCCCGAAACCTGTATTTTCTACTTAAATTTTACTTGAAAAAAAAATCAAAATGAATAAACATGATAAATTATTATCAATGTTAATACAAAAAAGAATATTTTAGTAGATAAAACAGTAACATATAAGTTATCAATTAAACTTACAACTAAACTATATGTAGTTTGGGTCAGTTTGGAAAAGCAGTTAGAGTCATCCTTTTCCCCGATTGTATCAGCTGCTGCATCGTTATCCTGCACTAGTAGACACTGGTCTATATTGTGTGATGTACCAGAGTTACTCTGTTGGCATTCCCTGGGTAACACCATATCAATACCCTGAAATATTTTGTAACTTCTTTATCTATATGTAGTATGCATGTATTTATTGAATTATTCTGAGAAAAAGACCCATAATGAATTAAAAACACAAAACTGAAAAATGAAAAGTATACTTACCAATACTAATAATTAGAATTTTAAAGTATACAGTGAACAGCAGGCACAGAGCATTGTTACAGTACATGATGAAGGGGGGGGGGGTCTTGGGTCTTACATTACTACATAACCCTTTCACTGTATGCTTCAACAAAAAGTGAAAATTTCAGTGGCTTAGTGGGGGAACATCTTACCAAGGAGCATTCTTTATAGAATATTAAAACATAATGTTTTGAAAAGGGGGACATGCCGGTTACCCCCCCCCCCCCCCCTCTCTTCTAACCTCCGTGTTTGAACACTACTGTTTGTATATAGTTATATCACGATGACCTACCGTTAAGCGCCTTTTCTTGCGAATTTTCTCCAGTGCTGATGATTTTCTGGGAGTCTTAGCAGGTGTTGGCGAGTACAAATCCTCACATTCTGCGTCACTCGGTCTTTTACAAGGTCTAGCTGGGCTTGAATAATCAAAAATTGTTGGGACTGCCCCAGGTTTCAAAATTTTATATTTCGGTTGAAAGCCAACAGAAGCAGCTAAGCCTGGATGTACAGTAAATTGACCCTCGTCAAAGTGAAGTTCACAGAGCTTTGTGTATTGGGTCGGTTGAAATCCATCTCTCTTTAATTTAAGAGTCCAAATTTTCTTTAGTTTAGGGTCTTTTGGGAACAAAAACATACTTTTCCCTTGTCCAGACTTAACTGTGCAATTGAAAGCTGCACACTGCACCATATTGTCCAATAAAAGGGATGTTCCCCACACACCGCCAGCGTCTTTCAATTTCTCGGTGTCTCTAATGACGTCACGCGACAAGGGAGATAAGCGATTCACAATAAACGCTCCACTGGTCACACAGGTAAATTTAAACGGCGATTAGCGATGACAGTTGGTGACACGAATTTTAACAGACATTCGAATCTGATCGTTATTGCACCAAAGACTGATAATCACGAATAATTATGTCTTTTCAAACAATCATTATATTTGACCTTTAATAATAGAAGAAAGCATTGTTAAAGATGTTAAAGGAATCTAAAAGTAATTAACTACTTACACGTAGGCTTTAATTTCTACGAAAACGATTTAAAGGGGGGGGGGGTTTAACATCCGTCTTCAAGTAGCCAATACAGATATCTTGATGAAATAGGACACTTCTTTGACATATACGAGTCATTTACTTGCTTTTCAAGTTGCTTTTCATTCATTTTATAAGGGCAAGATATTCACAGATAAAAGTTTCAATAAAAAAAATCTTGAAGCAAGGGTATTGATAAAGCATCTATCAATGGATAAAGCATAAGTTTATCTCATTTGGAGTATCCCCCACATGTATGAGTTAAATGACTGTATTATTAATTTTAATATTTTCAGGATTACCAGCAGTGATGTCTGAGTTTATGAAGGGACCCAGGTCTAGAGCAAAAAGAAAACTAAAGAAAGTGGAATCAGACAGCGATGAGGAATGGACACCTTACAAGTCTACGAGGGGTACTGCATGAACCTTAATAATCTACTCTATTTCTGCATTCACTCTGTTCTTACATGTAAATTGCTCCCTTTTCTCTTTCTCTTGTTTTTCATAGTTCACTAGCTCTCCTTCATTTACCACGAGTTTGCTCTCTTTTAGTCTATTTTTTTCACATGTATAGCACAGTATTTCATGGACTCAGATACATATATTGCTGGAATGAGCAGTTTTATCACTTTCACCAGTATACAAACTATATTCATTTGGTATATCTTGATTTTTTTGTTGCTTGATACTTATTGAAAATGAAATATGGAGACTGAAATAACGGTATTTTGAACAGAATTCAATATTCTGGAATTAATTTATTCATTCAAAGTTTAGAATTATAAAGTTCATAGAAGAGCTGCATTGTATGCTGTGATAAATATATAATTTTTTGAAAGAAATCTTTCATCCATTATTAGATATCAATAGATATTGATAATGATATATATACCATTTCATTTTAAAATATCAAGGTTATTTTTTTTTTATTTTGGTTTCATTTCTATAGAAAAGAAACAAACAGTTAGGTTAACGGTCCCAGTGAAGGAGCAAAAGGAAAAAAGACCCAGAAAAGTAAAGGTAAAACAAAATATCTTAAAAGTGAATAAAAATGTAAAGTTTATGTCCAGTCCACCATTTTAAAGGAAATATATACATGTTTAAAAACGTACAGTCATTCCTCTGGTTTTAAAAAAAATTAATACCAGACATGTGATGTTTAAGATCATAATAAGAAAAAGAATATCTCTTGTTCTCTCTTGTTTTTAACATTTAGCAATAAAAAGTCAAACTCTGCAAGTAGCTCCGTATATGCAATAGTATTTAAACAAACATGGACTTAAGGAACATTTAAATCAAGCTCAAAAGTCTGTTGAAACTATTCAAGTTCAAAGCAGAGCATGAATATATGAAATTTATATCAATACATGTGGTAGATTTCATAATATATGCAAAGCAAAGAGTAGCAATTTTAGCATACTAGTAATACAATGTACACGTAAAATACAGAAATACAGAATTAAAAGTTGAGTGATGCTAATGTAGACCATAATTACTTGATAGATACTAGGTAGTATTATACATGTAATTGTTCTTTTTATTTTGGAATAAAATAAATAATATCCATTATATATTTTTTAGACTGAAAAAAACAATTAAAGAGACCAACAAAACAGAAGTGCGTACATATCCACTTCGAGTACAACAAAGACTGAATTACATGGATGTTGAAGTGCCAGATGATGACGATTTTATATGTAGGTCTTATTAGTTTTAATAAAAGCGTATTAGTTAAAGGAATAAGGATTCTATGCTGTAAACGTTATGCTGTATATTTGAACACATATGTTTTTAATATATTGCATGGCTAAATACATTGACTCCCAATAGAAAAAATTATTTCAGAGACGTCCACCCCTGTAAATAAATTGTCAAATGGGGAAAGCAACAGGGGATGATTTCATATGTTTCTGAACTTCTGCTACACATTAAACCCAAATGGTGTAAGTGGTTAAGAAAAATAGGTCCACTAGATAATAAGGTTGTGATATATTGAAAGTCTCTTATTAGTTCACTTGAATAAAATCAGGTGACCCATTGCTATCTGTTTTTGTCTGTCATCATTCGTCGTTTGTTAAGAGCCATTCTCTGTAATGACTTGAAATTTTATATAGGAGCTGTGGCACGCATAGTCTCAGAATTTCTCCAAACTCTCTATGATAAAAGTCATTGATACCCTAAACTGAAATCAGGCAAAAATTGGTTGCTATGCTTTATAGTTACCATGGCAACATGTCTTAAAGTTCGAAAAAAGACATTTTTTAACATGTTTAGAGCCCCATAGTTAACATTTGCGGCAAAGCAAACTATTGGCGATGACTGTTTCCAAAATTAGAAGGTCAGATGTCTCAAATGCATGATAAACATGTTTGGTAAATCAACTATTACATACGTTACTATGGAAACAAAGTATTCAAAAGTAAAAAAAATATTCATTGAATTTTATAAAGTCATACACGTAAAAATAAAAAGCAATTATAGGATGAAATGTGACCAAATAACAGAAAAAAGAGCCTTGAAACATATACCAAGAACAAAATATGATATTTCATTTTGGTTGGCAATGGTTGCCAAGGTTTTTATACCACAGAGAGCCTTCAAAGTAACATTCTGTATGTTTAAATCTGATCCTATCTTATAAAAAAAGCACATTTCCTCATAACTAATGATCAATTTTTAAAGATGTTGGTGTGCTCCTAGTTTTCCCATTTGAAAAAATTCAGATCAGATTCTTTAACTAGAGCATTGCTATGGAAATAAGCAGAAAATATATGCTAAAAAACCTTAAAAATATTTTCTTTCCTTGGATACGTACCCTCAAATGTAGATTCCCAAAACTTTTATGATTGATATTTATTAACAGCTTACCTGACTTTTAATTTTGACTATCATCCAATCTCTAAGTGGATGCAAGAAGTTGGCACACGGGGTTTAATATTGATATAAAGTTCAGAAAATCGAACATTTTCCCTTCTTGGTAACCATAGCAACAGTGTTGTTTTCTTCATCAAATTTTATCAATATATGATATTCAACTTCAGTTCTAACAGATAAGTACTACTCAAGCTGAGTCCTTTAATTTTTTTCTTGATTAAATGGCAATTTAATTCTCAATGTAGAGAAAAATAATTCACTTTTAAGCACTGGTACTTTGTTTCCATGGTAACACTGCAAAGTAGTAATTATACCCAATTTTTCTTATGGTTTTGGTGTTGCACGGTCCTAAGGATGCATATTTGCCAGTCTTGAATTTTCATGTTTTTCCTCAAGACAGTAGCATTAACCCAATCTTAGTTACTAGTTTTGCATGGTTACACTGTGTTACCATGGCAACCATAAAAGTTATTTATAGAATAATATTGCTTAAACCTATATACTTAAGGTCAAATATTTTCATTGTTTTTCTTGAGTCGTTGATTAAGTTTGAGCATATAACACCTACCATTAGTGAATACGGAGTGTTTTTCAGCATATTTCAGCATTTTAAATGTATTCCAAATGTACCCTTGGTTACCACTTACTTACAGTATAAGTGACATCAAGGTGTCATGTTTTTGTGAGAATGGTATGTTTCCTTTTTCTAGTTTTTATTAAGCCACAGTCAAGATTTAAAGTTGCTGAAAATCTCGATTTTTCATAATTTTCCAGCTGTTGCCATAGCAACCGAGACACATAGCAACGAAATTTTGTTTGATGTTTGTTTCTGGTGTCAAGTACTAAGCATGGGTGAAGTTTCATCAAAATCGGTGACCATGCGTGGCAACGAAGTTCAAGTGGTTACAGAGAATGGCTGTTAACATTTAAACATTTCAGCTTCTTCTCTGCAACCACTCAAACAGTTTAAATTAAGGCACAAAGCATCTTTGTTCGTGGTCTATGGCATGCACCCCTGGGGCCTCAGAGATCAACAAAACCTCAAAAATTAATGCAATTTTTAAAAATATTCTTCTATAGATACTCCTGGAAATCAAGCAGTCAAACTGTTGGCATGATTGTAATCAGCATTGAGTCTCTACCAAAATTGCGAAATTTATGGCCCCAGGGTAGGCGGTTCTGGTGAAGGGACATGACTCTATTTATTAAACATGTATATTAGAAAATGTGTTTATACTTTAAAAAACTTCTCTGCTCCTGGGCAATAAATAATTTAGCTGTGTACATACATGTACATGTAGTTATGTAGAATAAGACTGTCTCTTTCAAATTGGTGAATTTCATGGTCCCTGGGTCAGGGGTTCTGGTGTTAGGGCAGGGCTCTAATGATTATATTGTGAAAATGCTTGAATTCTTTGGAAATCTATTCCTTTGCTTCTGGGTATTATGCCAATGATCTTAGTAAATATTTATGATGAAGCAAAAAACCTTTTTCCAAGTGATTAATTTTAGGCATCTGGGTCAATGGTACCAAGAAGATGAGGGTGTTATATGAACATAGTCTGAAAATAGATTAATGTTTTGAAATCTGCTCTTTTGTATAAATCAACCATTTATGATGAAATAAATTTATTATAAAATTTCCAAAATTTTGATATATGTAGCGCCAGGGTCGGTGGTTCCTGTGGGATAGGATGCACAACTGGTGGTAATAAGATGGGAGTGCATTTTCTCTTTGTTACTCTCTACTACTACAGTACTTCTGGGTAATAAGTAATCTAAA